CCTTTCCTTTCCTTTCCTTTCCTTTCCTTTCCTTTCCTTTCCTTTCCTTTCCTTTCCTTTCCTTTCCTTTCCTTTCCTTTCCTTTCCTTTCCTTTCCTTTCCTTTCCTTTCCTTTCCTTTCCTTTCCTTTCTTTTATTTTTTATTTATTTATTTATTTATTTTCTCCTTTCTTTTTCCATTTCCTCTGTTTGGGGAGCAGGAATTTCTACTTCCTATAAACAGATTTTGCAGCAGGCTTCCTTTATGTGCAACACAAACACCATTTTCCCATGTAGAGCCTAGAGTGCGGAGTTGAGGCGTTTCATTCCAGCCTTTTTCTTGCTTTTTAGCAGTTTTAAAGAAACTGGGGAGAGAAACATAATGTGTTTTTTTTTTTGTTTGCTTGTTTATTTGGGAGGTTTTGTTTTGTTTTGTTTTGTTTTGTTTCTTGCTTAAGAAGCCATGTCAAGATTCACTTAAACTTATCTGGACTCAGTTGGAATCAGAGAGCTCACAGAAGTTGCTGAAATCCACCATGTCAGGAGTGACTTGGTGTATTGTGCCTGAAGTGGGTTTAAGTTAGAATGCTGAATCCTCATTAATGAAGGAGGTAGAAAAGAGCACAGGTGAATGCCTTGGTGCCATTGACATGGATTTCCTATGTATCATCGCCCTTCTGAATTTCCCACACTGAAAAAAAAAAGAAGAAAAAGAGCCAAGCCAAATGGTTTTTTTTTAAATCATTGAGTCAGCTCTTGAGACTTCAGGTGTCATTAAAGCTTTAATAGCTAGGATGAGAGGGAATGGCCTCAAGTTGCTCCAGAGGAGGCTCAGTATGGATATTTGGAAAAATATCTTAGATATTAGATATCTTAGGTATGAGTATCTTAGATATTAGAAAATATTCAGTGATAATGCACTGTAAAGGGCTGCACAGCGCTGGAGATGTTCAGGAGCCATACAGAGCTTCTGCTAAGGGAATGGTTTAGTGGGAAAATATTAGTGGTCGGTGGATGGTTGGACTGGATGATCTTGGAGGTCTTTTCCAGCGTTGGTGATTCTGTGATTTTATTTGGTCTTCCAGTGTCCATTTTTCAGGCCAGTATTTTTCTTCAGCTGCAAGATAAGCAGTTTCTGCTTTGTGATGCATAGTAACACCCCCCCCTCAAAAATCAAACCCTGAGTTAAACCTAAGGAAACTGATGTTCCATATATCTTCTGTTTGTAAACACCTTCCAGCAAGCTCTCGAGATGAATGAATGCCTTTCTTCCTTTCATTTCAGACAATATGAAGCCCCCAGTCGCTTCATGGCAATTGCAGATTAGAAGTATATACACATATACACATATATATGTAAAAGAGATACTAAATGACACAAAGCACTGAGAGAAGGAACAAAATGATGTAGGCTCAGAATAAAATGTTGATTCTGTATTCAAATGCAAAAGCCCTCTCCTGGGATTCTCTAAGTTAAATTTCAAGTCTTGAAAAACTGATGTCTTTCAATGGGGTGTCTGTATACTGCTGTATATAGGTACACAGACTTCACAGATAATGAAAAGTAGTGCAGGAATTATGGGATGCAGAAATGCATTAAAGCACTGTAAGTGCTGTGCTTGTATAAAAGAACTGAATTATTTTTTTTTATAGGAGCTCAAAGATACTTTCTAGAAGTGGTTCTGCTGGACAGGAAGTATTTGCAGCCTGCATCATTCTCAGTGCAATGGGACAGAGATTTTGGGGGCCATGGTATTACAGTTCTCAATTCATAATTTCCTTGTCTACTGCATGGGAAGAGCCATTTATTTTTTACATTTCTCAATTTTCCATCTGCAAACTGAGGATAGGAACAAAGAGATCATCTATTAATTCGGCATTGTCTCTTCAAAATGATGCTTGTTTCACAGTTCCATGCATGCTGCTCTCATCCGATGAATTGAAGTGCCACCATAAGGTTAATCAGTAATTTTTTAGTACTACTCACAACAGACATGGAGTATTGACTCATAGAATCATAGAATATTTTGGGTTGGAAGGGATCCTTAAGATCATCCAGTTCCAACCCCCTGCTGTAGGCAGGGACACCTCCTCTAGACCATGTTGCTCACAGCCCCATCCAGCCTGGCTTTGACTGGATGGGACTTTGAACAACCTGGTTTATGGACTTTTCTATGCAGACAGCACAGTAAAACGTTCTGTGAACAGAAAGTGCCATAGCTCTGTTAATTGCCTCTTGGATTAGCTTTAGGTATAAATAGCAGCAATTTTCTGATTTATTTATTTCTTTGTTTGTTTACTTCTGCATGTGAAACAAAATGGAAGCAGACAGCACCTAGGAACTTGTTTGTATGTGAGGCCCTATAGCATCTCTGTTCACGTGCAGCCTTCAGATGGAGAAACTGAAAAGCAGCTTCCTGTACAGCCACAAATCGTTTTCCTGGATAAGAAGGTAGGATTTGCCCCTTTGTGAGTGGACATTTTTATTCATACTGTATGATTTTGACATTTCCAAGCAATCCAGAAGCTATGATATTGACCAAAGTACAGCGTAGAATAGCTGTACAAATACATATGACAAAGGATTGCATAAATAAGCAGCCATTGCTATTGTGAGATGTCTTTCTCAGCTTTTTCCTGTGAGTGTTAGATCTGTGTTGTAGAAGCAGTCATGTGCAGTTTTCTGACGTGGTGCTGATGCTCAGAGGATATCTTTGAGGAATGAGAGACCTTCAAAACAATTATGAAGACTGACATTCTCACCTGGATGGGGCTCTGAGCATCTAATGGAGCTGTAGGTGTCCCTGTCCATTGAAGGGTGGTTTATCTCCTTCATGATCTCTTCAAACCCTAGCGATTCAATGATTCTGTGATCACAGAGAATGTCTGATGGTGCCTCCTGGTCTGGCCAAGCAAGTCTGCACAATGCAGAGCAGTGCTTTGTGTAGGTCAGCATATCTGGAACGTGCTTGGCCGTTTATGTGATGCAGCACAGCCATGCCAGAGGTACCAACACAAGTCTTGGAAGCAGTAGACTAGCCCAGTGAGTCCTTTGTTGTTGGTAAATTGCTACTCTTTTACAGTAAAGCTGGCTCTGGATATCCATTCAACATGAGACCTGTTTTACAACTGTTAGGCCATGAGACTTCAGCTTCTTTCTGTTTGTCTTCTTCAGTCCTCTACACATACTCGTCTTATGCTTTGGGCTGTGCAATATGCTGCTCAGCCTGCAGCTGCTGTAGCAGGAGTTTTCTACTATTAGAATGAACTTAGAAGCCATGATTATGTCAAAGTTATCTACTTAGCTTAATTCTTCTGTTTTGTTTTTCTTCCCAGGGTCGAAGAATTGACACACTGGGGCCTCCCTCAGAACCCTGGGTTGTTTCAGCTCACCTCAAGGGCTCCTCTGAGGCTGTGCTAAAAGGTTTGGAAGTGTTTTCTTATGGCAGGAATTATAGCAAAGCAATTATGGGAAGTGATGCTGATGAATTTATGGTGAAATCTTCACAGAAGAGGACTGGGTTTGAAAGTTAGCCTCAATGATAAAAAAAAAACCCTAACAGAATGTTGAATTGGAAGAGGTTGTATGGACTTCCAGGTTGTGTCTCTATACAAAGTGTTTTTGTACTCTGGCAACTTAAAGGGAGCGAATCCAATAGTTTATCTTGAAAAGATGTAACTTAGATCAAAAAAATGAACGAATGAAGAATTGGAAATCCCAATACCTGATTTTCAGCTAATGTTAATTAGGGTAATTTCCTCAGAGCCAACGACAATCTGTTTGTCCTAGAAAATGTTCAGGCCAAGTACAGACAGAAACAACTGCCTATTGTTTTTAATTAGCATACTTCAATGTGAAAATGTTTTTCATGAGGGATTTAAATGTTTCCCTTCTGGTCCTCATTTATCAAAAGACCTGAACTCATGATTAACTCTAAGCATGTGAGTATTTCCCTTGAGGTTATTGAGACTATGAACATGCTCAGATATAGATCCTTGTTTAAGAACAGTGCTGAACTGAAAACCTGTGGATGATCATATGCTTGTAAACTAGAAAATGGAAATGAAATCGATTATAAAGCATCATAATGTTAATTGCTAAAACCTTTAAATGTAAGCAAACGGTGTGCATGCTGAATACTGAATCTTCCTAATATCAGTAAGGAATTGTTTGTAATAATAAGGACATATATGTGTTAACTTTGATTTAAAAATTAACATTTGGAGAAGATAAGTGTTTCTCATGCCATAGATCAGAGTTCTAACCCTTTGGGCCCAGTTCCTGTTTTTGTTAATTAGAAATAGCTCTCCTACCTTGTCAAAAGTTCTGGGTTTTCAGGATGGAAAATCCTTTAGTCTTTTCTGATGCTTTTCATGCCTTCTTAGGGAATCTGGACTAATCTAAATCTGAATGTTGAGTTAGCTACTGACCAACAGTGAAGGAAGGAAGGAAGGAAGGAAGGAAGGAAGGAAGGAAGGAAGGAAGGAAGGAAGGAAGGAAGGAAGGAAGGAAGGAAGGAAGGAAGGAAGGAAGGAAGGAAGGAAGGAAGGAAGGAAGGAAGGAAGGAAGGA